CCTCTCTTCACAGCAACAGAAACATTTGCATCCCTCGATTAACACTGCCTGACACTTGGTTGACACGTTTCCCAAGCTTTTTCTCACCTCTTCTCTGGTTTTGTTTTCACAACTTGTAGGATATGAGAAAAGAGGCACCTTCCGTTGGGGAGGCAGACATCTCATTGTCTGGTGACGGAGACCTGCTGCCACTCACTCGCTCGGGTGTCAGGAGCTCAACGGACCACTGGGGCATGGTGACAGTTTGGCTTTTGTTTCGTCCTCTTAACTCTTGCCTGAAGTTAACCATTCAGTATCCTTTGAATTCCCACTGCATGGGAGCCCTGAGGTCAGGAGGCTGACTGGGTGTGAGGATTGAGTATCCTTGTCAAATCCAAAATCCTATGAGCACAGCTCACTGGAGTGATGTGTCGGAACCCCGCATCCTGGGCGTCCAGAAGGGTCCTGCTTTTCTTTTCATCCACTCTCTATTCATTCATTCTTTTGGAGTATCTCTTCCAGGGGCAGGCAGCATATAGCCTATATTTGGGACGGCTTGGCAAATGCCTTGGTATAGAGTGGTGGGTCTCTGTCTCAGCTGACGTTAGATTCACCTGGGGCACTTTTAGAACCACCCATACTTGGCGCCTTTATAAGTTCCCCCCAGGTGACTCTGATGGGCAGCCAGCATCAAGAATGGTTCTCTAAGGCCTGGACTCATAGTCAGGGACTCTGCTTTAACTGGGGGATGGGAATGATTGGCAGGTCTCTGTACCTTGGGTGCAGTATAAAGAAAAACGACGGTGGTCTCGGTGGGAAGAACCCTTCCATTCTAGACCAGCTGAGAGCCAATTTCACTTGATGCTTCTCTAGGATCAGCCTTTGTTGGCTCTGCTACTCAACAACTGTCTCCCTCTCAAATAAATAAATAAATAAATAAAATATTAAAAAAAATCAGTAGGCTGTGTGAGCTCAGGGCTAGGAAGAAACAGTTTTCCTTGGGGAGATAAGGGATGCCTGGGGTGGGGTGGCATTTGAGCTGGTTTTCTTGAAAGGTGTGCATTTCCGCAGGTGAGGAAGAACCAGAAAGAGCGTTCCAAGCTGAGGCATGACCCAGATGGAGGCTGGGAAGGTTAGGCATGAATTTGCAGGCATCTGATGAGAATCCATTAAGGGAAGGCTTTACCTGCTTTGCTAAGAAATTTGAACCTTTAACCTGAAAACAAGTGGGGACTATTGGAAGTTTGCATCTTGGAGATATGCTCCAGTTGGAGATTTTGGTTCACTGATCCTAAAATGGGCTGGGAATGGGACACAACTCTCAATGTCTTCCTCCCCACCCTGGCCCATGGCAAACACTCTATGAAGAGCAGCCGAGTCTACTTCCCCGGGTTCTGCTTTCTCACCTGCAGTCTGGGTATGGCATATAGGTCCTGTCCTTTGCATTGCTCCTGGAATCTGTTTCTTTATCAAATCAGTTTTGGAGTGCTACCCCATTGGATTATCTGCTTAGCTTTGTGTTTCGGTGTCTCTCCTGGAAAGTGTCTTAGATTATCTGCTCCCCTCATCCCACCCCATCTAGCCTAAACTTCCCACAGCCTTTATTCAGCGTGGACTCATATTCCCCTGATCTGAAAGCAGTCTGGATATTTGTTTTGGGTGTATCCCAGCCTGGGGTCGTTCACTTGTCTGCAGACTGGAGGCAGGAGGACCTGCTGGGTGGATGTGACTACGGCCTGGGCTGAGATGATTATGGCCGGGACCGGGGCTTGTCATGGGGCTGCCAGGTTGCAGGGAGGGAGCGCCGCGTGGAAGAGACCCCATGATGTCAGAACCGACAGGACTGTAATTTACGCATGACTTCATTAGGCCCCCCGCTTATCTTTCTGAACGTCTGGTCTCCTGACTCACCACTTGTTTTTGTTTGTTCATGACGGTCTGAAGTCTTGGAAACATTACCTACGATCTGAGTAATCAGGACTGATGACCTGGGGTGGGTTTTGGAAGGTTGGTGTCAAGCCCTTATTTCAAACGCTGATACTTCTTTTATTTAAAACAGGGAGATTTGTTATCCAAATGCTAGACCTGTTAACTGAAGATCTGGGGCAGGAGCAGGGGGCCGGGAAACATTCTTAGATCATCCCAAACAGTGACGGCGCACAGAGATTGGGATGTGATTCTGAAAAGGGAAGAGCCTTTAGATCAGGCTGGCCTCTGGGCTCCTATGGATCCACCTTACAAGGGGAGCCCTTCTCTGAGCAGGTCCTTCAGACAGGGATGTGGTTCCCAGCTGCGCTGCACGTTGGAATCATCTGGGGATTTTTACAACACGCTGACAGTTGGCTGCCACCTCGACATTCTGACTTCAGTGGTATGCGGTGCAGCCTGGGCACTGGGGTTTTTAAAACATCCTGGGGGAGTCTAATGTGTAGCAAAGTTTGGGAACCTCTAGAGTAGGAGGGAGTAGAAATGAGCATTTGGTGTCCAGTGGTCCTCACACCTGAGTGAGCACCAGAATCACCAGGAGGAAGTCTGTAAAAACACACATGGCTGGGCCCCACCCCAGAGTGGACAGAAATTTACATTTCTGTCCAGTTTCTGGTGATGCTGACAGGGCCACACTCTCAGAACCACTGGCTTAAGAGAGCTGGGTCTGGCTTTGCCCCTTATGAGCTGTGTAACCCTGAGCATGACCCCCAGTCGTAAGAAGTACAGTTTCTGCTTTTATACCATGGGACAGCAATGGTGATTAGCTCGTGGGCCTCTGTGTGCATGAAATGAGATGATATTTGCAAGTTGCTTAACCCAGGGCTTGGCCCACAGGACGTGTGCAACCCATTATCCGGGTGTTTCCTTAGGTTCCATCCTGCCAGCTAGTGGGTGATATCCAAAGGCGTCTCTGCTCCTGGGGGTCCTACTTTCAGGCTTTCTGGAAGAAGAAAACTGTTACTCTCAGGAGCTAGGAGTGCTCGGCGGGGAGGGCGGTGGGGAGGGCGGCGGGGGGGGGGTTGTCTGGCAGGGTAGGGGCCCATGCTGGGGATGCAGGCACATGTCATTTGATGATTGTCAATGGGGCCCTTCAGCCAAAGCTGGGCAGGTAGGGGCTGCGATGGAGGCCTGCTCTCCTGCCCAAACTCCACGTTAGTCACATTCTAGACCCATCTAGTGCGGCCAGTGGTGGTTGTCCTGGTGTCACCATGGAAACCAAACTGCTACCAAGGGAGGTGGGAACTGGGCTCTAAATGGTGTCGGAAACCACAAAGCGTGTCCTTGAGTGGAGCACTGGGGATCTCCCCGCTCTGTCTTCCCCTTTTCTCATGCAATTTGCCCAGCATTCTCTTCTGCGTATATTTACTTCCCCTCCCCATTTTGCTGAGGAGGGAACTGAGGCACGGCATGCATGTCCCTGCAGGCGGACAGGATGCCCATGTCAGCCTGCAGCTCTGCAGGCCAAGCTGGCACTGTGGCCACCCCCTTTCTGAACACCCATGCACATCACATGGAGAAATGGATTTTTGTTCCTTAATGGCTTTACCAGGTCAACTCTCAGGGACTTTTTGATATGTTTAAAAGTTCTATTTTTTTTCCTAGAGTGGTAGAAATCTAGTAAATCTTTATTACTTCCACATGGTTTGAGGGCAAAGTGCCCCGATTTCCATTTTATAGTTTGGGCCATGCAGGGAATGGGGAGAAGGCACATTCAGGATTGGCCCAGAAGGTGAGAGACTGGCTCATTCTCTCCATTTCCAGTTCTGGTTGGCCAGAGTGAAATTCTGCCCATGCCAAGGGGCCCCAGGGGTGTCAGCGTGGGTTTTCTTCTGTTCTCCCTGGACTGAGAACTGAATGAGAGATGGAGTTAGGGAATGATCTTAGAGAGGCCATGGGAGGTCATCGAGTCCAGGTTATTTCTGGATAAGGACACTGTCCCCCAGAGGGGAATTGATTTGCATCACAGAGGATGCTAGTAACAGAACAGAGCCTAGACACCTGGCCCCTGCCTTCCTTCCTCACTGGGGCTCCTTGCTCTGTGCCCCGACACGAGTCAGGCATATACCTATGTGCGGACTGCTGGGTATCTATTACTCTCATTTGATATTAATTGATGGCTTTGTTGTGATTAGTGCTAAGCCCTTCCTGGAGAGGGAGGTGTGGTATGGTTCACATAAACGCTGCCAGGTGAGCCGCACACATGACCCACAGGCACCACATGCAGAACTGTCACTGGTACTGGGCTGGCTGTTTTAAGTAGCTGTGTTCCATTCAAGCCTCACAACTCACAGAGGCAGTTATTAGCATCCCCGATGCCCAGATCAGAGAAGTAAAGCCACTTGCCCAGGATCACACAGCAAGCAGGCAAGTGGCAGAGTGAAGATTTGAAGCCAGGTTTGGTTGATTTACCAATATTCTTCAGCCACTGTACTACACTGCTGCCTGCCTTTGCAGGTTCAGGAAGATTCTGTCTCAGAGAGAAAGCCACAAGCCACACAGAGGAAGTCTGTCCCCTGTCTACCTTGAACTTTTGCAGACCTTGTTTTCTGCAAAAATACAATTGCTCAGAACTGGCTCCTAGGGCATCATGGCTAAGGCCATCATCTAACTCACATTGGTGCAAAAAGTGAAAACACTTCAATTTTTATTATTTCAAATATGAAGTATTTGGCTGTTTGATCATTTTTCTTTTTCATCGTCAGTATGGTTAACGTGTCACTTGGCTGAAGTTTCCCATTCGCACAGACCCTGCCTGCCTGTGCGCTTCCCTCTTTCTGCGGACCGTGACAGGGAGGAGAGACAGAAGTTATTTTTAATTTGGCCACTGAACAAACAACCAAATCTTCCCTTCCAGCAGCCGAGCCTATATGTTTTCTCACCAGGGTATTAATTAGCCGGCTCTGGGAACGGCCAGCCCGGTGGCTCCAGTGGCTCAGCAGCCCTACCAGTCACAATGCCATGGCTCGTGGATGCAGCAGGACCCTGAGGCTTCAGCAGGGAGCGTCCTCCTCCTCAATAAATTCAGACATGGGTACTGGCTAACTTGTTAAACACATTTATTGGTTTCTTGACAGTAATCAAACACAGTGAGTGACCATTATAAACAAGGAAAGAAAGGCATTCGTTTGTATTTTGTGAGATCCGGCTGCACCTGGAGAGAAAAGACACCCCCTTCCCAGGAATTTACAAGGCAAAGTGCATTCCTTCAAGGGAGCATCACAGTGGGGTGGGGGGATGGCAGTTTTGAAACGCAAGAAATCTGTCGCCTGCTGTCTCAGGCTGAAGCTCACTTTGTATGAATGATCGAGCCATGGAGTGGAATTAAAGTTATACTTGCTTAGCAAATGCATTCCTGATTGCCACAAACTCAGTCAAAACTGGCTGCAAATGAACAGAACACGTAGATGAAGGAACAAGTGAAATCAAAGAATGCAGTTGCAATGGAGTCAGGGCTTTGCCTGTAAGGAAGGAGAACAGACCAAAGGCGGAAAAATGAAATTAACTTGTTAAACACATTTATTGAGCTGTTAACAATAACCAAACACAATGTATGACCTTTGGAAAACAAGAAACAGCAAATGGATCAATTCTGATCTTGGCAAATCCTACTACAGATATGTGACAAAGGGGAAATAATTCCATTTCTTTATAGTCTGCAGTGATATATATACAATGTGTATCTCTTCAAGGTCTGTCCTTTGCTTTTTGAATTTTTTTTGAGTAAACAGAAGAATCATAATCTAGAAATAAGTGTCCTTGGCCAACTTTGTCTTGGTTCACCTGTCACCAGCACCCTCAGAGGATCCTAGGACACCACCCGAGATAACTTGATGCCAAGAATGAAGTCCGCTTGATGCTGTCAGAGCTGTGTTTTCTCCTCTCTCTCTTTTGGAAGAATTTTGTATGTACAAACGCTGAAAAGTCTCATTGGGTAGATTTATTAGTTCAGGAAAACAGTATCAAAATTGTAATCAGGCTAACTGGTTATTTTCTTCTAAGACCTCTTATGAATGAGCCTGTTTTTTCTGAAACTTGACTTCCCATCTTGAAGGCCATGTTGAGTGTGTCTGTGTGTAGATTTGTTTGCATGTGTTCGCATGTGTGTGCGAGTGCTTGTGTGTGTGTGTGTGTGTGTGTGTGTGTGTGTGTCAGTGAGTGTGTGGAAGAGATGTGTTCCTCTGCCATGGTTTTGCAGACACTTTTCATGAAGAAAGGGCCAATCCAAAGAGTGAATGAGGCTTGAGGGAGAGAGGGAGAGAGAAGAAAGAAGGGGGCATTCTAGGTTACACCAATTCACAGTTGTAGCATTTCTTCTTGAGATTCTTCTTGGTCTCGTTCCCTACTTGAGGAGCCATTCATTTACTGGAAAGAGAGAGAAAGGAAAACACACACACACAAACAACACAAAACGAGGCATAGTTGAATTAATGCACACAAAGTTTGGGGGGCTTACTCCAAAGGGGAAGCGACGGTTCCGTAAATTGTATGTATGTATCCCAACCTCCCCCTCTGCTTTCTCATAAACCTCTAGCCCGAGCTGCCCCATAGGGTTGTTACCAGTCACATGCGGCTACCATAAATTCAATTAATTAAAATGAAAACTAAAAATTTAGTTGCATTGTTGTACTAGCCACACTTCAAATGTCGGATAGCCACATGTGGCTAGTAGCTACCATACCAAACAAGGTAGATATAGAACATTTCTGGAGTTGCAGAAAGTTCCGGTGGATGGCAGTGCTCTAGATGAGGGTTGGGCAAATAACAGCCCACAGGCCAAATACAGCCTGTGATCTGTTTTTGTCTGTAAAGTTTTATTGGAACATGGCCACACCCATTCATTTACATATTACCTATGGCTGCTTTCACTCTACAACTTAAGAGTGTAGCAGAGACTATATGACTCAAAAGCCTAAAGTATTTACCAATTGGCCCTTACAGAAAAAGTTTGCTACCCCTGCTCTAGACTATAAGCTCTGCATGGATGGGGCCCTATCTGTCTTCATCACCACTGTATTCCCATCACTTAGCTAAGTGCCTGGCACACAGTAGGTGCGTCATAACTATGTGTTAAATAAAGGGAAGGCTCAATGAATGGAGTATTTTTCTGGTAGTTCTGGCTGGAAGGGAACAGAAAATTTTAGTTTTGACACTTTGCATGTGTCTGACAGAGAAAAAAGAAAGAAGGAGATGCGGGAGAATTAGGAGAGATGAAGTGGGGGACCAAGGGGCAGCTGCCTGGTAACATCCATAGCCCGCATATTAGGGTGGCATGTTATTGCTACAAAGGACTTCCCCATCTAGGCTCTCATTTGCTCCTCACGAGTCATAAAGTTGATGGTATAGAGACTGTCATGAAAGAAGCCAGGTCCAGAGGGGAAATGCGGTGGCTGGGTTTACCTGGCTTGGTAGTGACAGAACCAAGCCAGGAGCTCGGGTGTGTGGATTCCTTGTTGAAGACATTTCCATGACTCCATTTTGCCTCCATCTTCCTTTCTATGTTGAGGGTTTACCACAACGATCAACAGATACTTAGCGTGTGTAGGAAGAGAGAGAGAGAGATGCATGTGGACGAGAGGGTTACTGGAGGCAGGAGTCATCTTAAATGTCTCTTTTAGTAGGGATAATAGTCACCTCTAGGGACATAGCACCGGAAAAAGATGTGCTCACACATGTTACCTCATTGGATCCCAATGGCCTGGCATCCAGAGTATTTGCTCCCCTTTGGGAGAAAGGGGGTGAGAGTCCATTGTGCACAGAGCTAAAAGCTTGAATGCTTCTAGCTGTCCTGTTCTAACAGATGACATTGGAAAATCAGCCTCTCTGGGCCCTTGGGTAAAAGGGCAATAAAACGGCTCTCTTATGCTAAGCGAAATAAGTCAGAGAAAGACAAATACCATATGATTTCACTCATATGTGGAATTTAAGAAACAAAACAAATGAACAAAGGGAAAAAAGAGAAAGAGAAAGAGGCAAACCAAGAAACAGAGTCTTTAAGTACAGAGAACACACTGATGGTTACTAGAGGGCAGGGGGGTTTCGGTGAACTAGGTGATGGGGATTAAGGGGTACATCTGTCGTGATGAGCACCGGCTGATGTATGGAAGTGTTGAATCACTATACTGTACACCTGAAACTAATATCACACTGTATGTTAACTAACTGGAATTTAAATAAAAACTTAAAGAAAAAGAAAAAGGAAAATACCTCCCTGTCTCCCATCAGTTTAAAGTCATGTGCTGTATATACTAGAGGCTTGAGATGAGGTCTGCAACTTTCTGAAATGTCCTTAGTGTAATGATTTGGAACTATTTCCGCAAAAAAAAAAAAAAAAAAAATGTATAGAACCCTAGCCAAATATTCTTTCATGGGAGCACTTTCTTCCTTGTGAAGACTGCGTATCCTAGGCAGCTGTCTTAACTTGGGCTCCAATAAAACTTCCTCCCTCCCCCCCTTCCTTCCTTCCTTCCTCCCTCCCCTCCTCCTTTTTTTTTCAATGCCCTCTTGCTTGAACTGGAAGGGATTTGAATATTTGACACCCCCTCCCCCATCTCTGTCTCTGTATGTCTATTTCTATCTCTGTCTATCTCGAATGCTACAGAGGTTTTACCAACAGGAAAGCACCATACAAATGGAAGGGGGTGGTCTCACTGTCATTTGTGATCCCAATTCTAATAAGACGACTGAGCCCCGGCGGGGGCCCGCTGCCCTCCAAGCCAGCACACCCACCTCTATACTGAAGCTTCTGGGCTCGGTTGTTCGGACAGTCCTTCCCCTGTAAACTGAAGTTGATGTTGGTGCGGATGCAGCGGTTGCTGAGCGGCTGCACAGGCCTGAAGTTGTCACTCATGCTCAGAAAGATCTGAGACGGCTGATTCTGGCTGAGCAGGCGTAAGGAATGCATCTGCGGGGAGAGACACAGCTGAGTCCCACCTACCCTCCTAACTGGGCTAGGGAGCATGTCGGACTGCGTAGACCGTGCCCAAGCCAGGTGGTCCTGGCTATCTGGGACAGGGCACATGTGAGCGCTGCAGGGACCCCTGTTTCATGGATTCGGGTGTGCTGCAGGCCTCCTGATGCCTCCGTGCACGGAGTGAGCCAGGCTTCTACCTCACCAGGTCACGCATGTCTCTGAGCAAGTCCTTTGCTCTCTCTTAAGCTCAAACATGCCATCTGTCAAAGGAGAAAATCCATCTGGTTGTTCTCTAGGGTCCCTTTTTCCTCTGACACCTCATGGTTCCAGAATTTCCAATAATTCAGGAAATTATTCCCCCCCCCATGGGTGTTATCCACACCGTAGTGATTGTTCCAGGGGTCAGAGCTAAATTAAGCTGGATCAATTTGGTTGCTTTTCTGTGACTACTGGGATGGGGCGGCTGGACTAAAGGTTTTCTGCCATGTTCCAGCCCAGGACTGCAAAGCAAAGGAAGACTTTCCTGTTTTTAACAGGAAAGGAGGAAAGAGAATGTGCCATAAGAAGTGAAAGAGAACAGAGAGGACAGACTTCCTGGGAATTCTGGACATCAGTTTCTGATCTCAACTTCCATAGGATGCCCCCATATTTCTTGAATACCTCCTTTTTTCTAAGTGAGGTATCTGGAGGGGCTGGCTTGTCACCAAAAGAATCCCAATCAACACAGATAGGACTGGAGACTTCAAATGCTTCAGACTGTTGGGTCATGAGTACATATCCTGTCAAGGAGATTGGATTCTGCTTCCTTTGCTCGTCTTCCTTTTGAGTTTTATAGACAATCTTAGAATGTCGGAACTGGAGCAGACGTGAGTTACCCCCCTCGTTATAAAGGGGAGGAACTTTCATTTCACATAGTGGGGGTGACAGCTGTGGGAGTGCACAGAGAGCCAGTGGCAAAGCTCACACCCAGTGCTCAGACCTGGTTCTCAGGTAGTTCAAGGGCATACTAGCCCTGTGAGATGCTCTAAAAATACTTCCCGTGTCAACAGTTTGTGAAATGCTCAACATCCCATTCCTCTTCTTGGAGACTGACACATATATTATCAATTTAAAGGCCCTGACAAGTTTCCCAGTAAGGAGATCTATTTATTTATTTATTTATTTATTTATTTATTTAAAATGTAGGCTCCACACTCAGCATGGAGCCCAACCCAACATGGGGCTTGAACTCACGATGGTGAGATCAAGATCTGGGCTGAGATCTAGAGTCGGATGCTTAACCTCCTGAGCCACCCAGAGGCCCCTATTTAACTTTTTTTAAAATCCAGCTTTTTCAAACATTTTTGGACACACCATCCATTTTGCTCACTTGCTGTTTGAACATAATGACTGTAGCGCACACTTTGGGAACTGACCTTGCTCTCTTTTCTCATTCAGACACGTGGGATGCTTCTACAATTTGTTCATGCTAAGCCTTTTCAGATGCTGGTTTTTCAAACATAGGTGTGGTGATTTCAATTGTGGACCCCCAGAATTCATAAATGGAAGTCCTAACCCCCTAGTACCTCAGAATGTGACCTGATTTGGAAATAGGGTCATCGCAGGTGTAATTAGTTAAGATGAGGTCTTTGGGGTGGGCCCTAATTCAGGGTGACACAGGTGTCCTTATAAAAAAAGGGATTTGGGCAAAGATGCAGGGGAAGAACGCCACATAAAGATGGAGGCAGAGTGGGCAGTGCTTCTAGGAGCCAAGGAACACCAAAGATTCCTGGCTACCACAAGAAGGACAGGTGTGGAACAGATTCTTCCTTACATCCTCAAAAGGGGCCAACCCTGCTGACACCTTGATCTTAGATTTATAGCCTCCAGAGCTGTGAGCCAGTACATTTCTGCTGCTTAAGCCACAGAGTTTATGTTACATTTTGTCAAAGCAGTCCTAGCAAACTAATCAATAGGCACTCCATAAACCCAGCCAGTCTTGACATCATCTTCCCCATTAGCTGAAAGACCTCAGAAAAGCTCACCTGCATCCTGGTTATATAGACAGGTTTGTTCATTATTATCCAACTTGCCGTCTCATAGCAGGGTGGGATAGTCATCGACCCATCATACGTAATGAAACTAGAGGTCTCTGGATATAGTTCCTCTATGTTAAGTCCCTGTAGTAAATATGCATCATCTAGAGAAGGAAATAAGAAAGACTTAAGAGTTAGGTTTCTTGAGAACGTGCTGGGGTTGCTGACAATTTCTTTTTCTTTTCAGACTTCCGAAGAACCATATCTGCAGGATAGGCTACAAAAATGAGCACCACCCCCCCCACCCCAATCTCAGTTATTTTCAACAACAAAGGCTTATTTCTTGCCCACATACACGTTAACCCTAGGTTGGCTGGGAGCTTCCTCCATGTCATCATCGTCCACACTCTGGGACTCAGGCCCTGACGGCAGCTGCTATCTAGACCCTTATGAGTAGCAATGAGAGAAAGCAACCGAGATGAAGCATATGTTGGCTCTTAACTCTCCCATCCCAGCAGGGGCACATGTCACTTCTCACATTTTGGTAGCCGAAAAGGTAACATGGCCAAGGCTGACATCAGGGATTCAAGGAAGCACATTTCTCTGGCAGGACGGGGCACTGAATATTGGCAAACAGAAGTGTGGTCCACCACGAGGGCACAAGAATGAACCAAGTCCTTGCTTATGGTCCCTGAGACCTAGACCCATAGCATTAGAGTCATAATGAAATACTCAATTAAAGGCTTCAGGGCTGATTGAAACATTGCCTGGTCGCCATTCTTATTTATTAACATTGTTTAATTAAAAGAACATTAAGAAAACTCTTTTAAAAAGAAAAGCAAATCAGGCCAAATTTACCATGAGATTCAACAGTTATGTCCAACCACTGATTTCATTTTTGTGGGTCTCTTCCCTATTGCGCCCATGTACACAGCCTTTTCTCTTTTTACACCTACTTGAGATAGTCACATTCATATGTATTTTACTATTAAATGTGCTTTTTCAAGTATGAGAGTGACATAAGTACATATCAGACTATATAGAGAAAAGAGAGACAACAAGAGGATAATCAATACCTCAGTCATCTGAAACAGTGGCCATGAGCAGTTTGGTCTATTTCATTCTGATTTTTAAATTCAATGTACTGGTTGTATTTCTGTAAACACTGTAATGTACTGAAGTTTTCAAACACCCACAAATTCCAGTGACCCTCTCTCACCCTCCTCCTTTCCCTAGGACCCCTCCCCTTCTTTCTGCACGCTCTTCCTCTCTTCTCCTGGCTTCCAAAACACAGTGCTTGGTATTCCTATTTTTCTGGCCATTCTTTCTCAGGTTCTGTTGATTCTCCACCTGCTTCTCTTAGTGTTGACATTTACTGGGGACAAGTCCAAGGCTTTTTTTTTTTCCTTCCTCACTCTGCAGTGAGAAGCCCACCTACATCCATGGCTTCCATTGCCCTCTGTAGCTGGTGACTCCAGATGTAAGTGTCTGGGGGTCTTGTCATGAGTGTCCACCACTGTTGTCGGTCCAGGAGGCCCAGGGAACCCAGGGCCTGGCAGGTGGAGGGAAGGGCCTGGCTCTTCCAGTCCTCCTAGATTCTCTCATCCATGTTTCCAGCTCCCAGTGGGAAAGGACTAACTCTTCAGCGGTTGACATAACCTCTCAGGTTTAGGACTGTGCCCGTATAACGGTATAAAAGGACTTTCACATACAGCTGGAACCCCACAATGACCTCTAAGATTGGTCAGGCAGATAATAACATCCCCATTAACAAGATCAGAGAGGCAGAGTAACCTGCCAAAGGTCACAGAGCTGGCTGGTGACTACAGAGTGGGACCAGTTCTCCCGACTTCCAGCCCAGAGTCATTCATTTACTCAACAGATGTTCAGTAAGCACCAGTTTGTGCTGGGCCTAGGGTTAGGTAGGGTCTGGGGAGAGAGCAGTGAACGAGATAGATGCAGTGCCCACCCTCATTCCATTGAAGAGACAGACAAAAACAGCCAAATTAATAAATGCAAGCTCTCCTATCAGGTGGTAATGAGTGTACCTTGGCCAGGCCTGTTCCGACCTTCCGATCCTGAGCATCAGGGAGGCTAATCCATATTCCTGGGCACAGGCCTCCTTCCTTTCCCATCTCTTCCTCCAGAAATTGCTCACTCAAGTTTCTCTGATAAAAAAGAGCCATCTCTGCCAAGGGAACTTGAATTTCAGTGCTCCTTCACTCATCAACGGAATTAAGAACAAATCAACTGATCCAGTGGTTTGGAATGATGTAAATAAAACCGCTGTCTGCCTGCTCCATCCCCAACTCCTCCTCCCGGCCTCTGACCACCCCGAGGGGGACCTGAACGTCTCCAGAGCTATGTCCACAAAATGACCATGGAGGCGGACAGAGAAGTCAAGCTGGATTTGGAGGCCAGTGCTAGGAGGAAGGCCTTTCTTTCAATTTGCATTACATGTGTCCACCCTCCCATCCAAAGACCAGGGAATCCAGACAAGCCCAGGAGAGACGCCGTGATTGGCATATGGCTGCCCTGGGGGTCCGCGCTCTGGCCTGTGGGGTCAGATGCTTCCCCGACAAAGCCATGGTGTCCAGAGCACACACCAACATGATGCTCCTTGGGAGTCACGTCAGGCATCAACACAATAAGCTTCTGTTGAATAGCCATCATGTGGCTCTGTTTCTTAAGTCCCTAATATGTGTCAAGCACAACGCTAGGTATAGGTGAGCAGGATGTAATTAAACGAATGCAGCAAGGAGCCACAGAGACAGTGACATGGATCTGCACTGGGTACATTGAGAGGTTGTCATTTCTGCCTGGGGGTGGGACTCAGGAGAGTATTAATCCAGGAGCTGACCTGAACTGCATTTTGAACGACAGGAGGTAATCAGTGCGTGGCTGGCAGCAGGTGGCTGTCAAGGGCACTGTAGACATTTCTGCCAGGGAAAGAACTGAGGATGGAGAGAGAGATGCATATGGGCTGGGGGCCGGAGTGGTGCTGGGGAGCTGCAGGGGTTGGGGGGAGGGGTGTTGTGTGAAATGAAGCCGGCGGTGGGCACAGGCCACACCCGGGAGGTCCTTCTCTGCGCTGTTGGGAGTTGGGGCTTCCTCCTGTAGGCAATGTGAAGCCACTGAAGGGTTTAGAGCAGGGGAGTAGCAAGATCAGATCTGCACTTAATGGTGCCTGTTCTCACGGCGCTTTGGCCCAAAGATTAACATATTGAATGAGAGAAGGAAGCATCCTGCACATCTTTATTAAAGGTCAATGTGATTTGTTTAACCAAGCTTGCATGCAGAGCATATTGGGTACTCTAGCATGCTGCTATTATTGTATTTTATTTTATTTGGGGTGGTGGGGAGGAGGGAAGGAAGGAGGTGGTGGAGCGAGGGGCATTCCAGGCATGTCTGGAATAAAGGAAAAGAACATTTCTGTTTCTCTGAAACCAGAAGCAGCCTGTGTTGCATCCATATTCGAGGCAAGTGTTGGTGTGTGTGGGTGGCGGGGGAGGGGCAGGCGAGGAGCAAGATGCTATGTTCGGGGATGTAACCCACACAGTAGGGTAACAGCATGTCCCAAAACACTGCTGTGCCCATATCCCAGACTCCACCTGCTGAGGTCTTGCTGGGAGATTCCTCTTCGCCCACATCCCCTGAGAGATGCAGTGCTCCATTGGGGAACTCGGGTAGCTTGTGGGCAGTTCCACCCTCCCGCGATCCTCACTTATCACTTGGTTTCACACTTCACCTTTTGCCCTTCTCCTTCTTCTTCCTTCTCCTCTTCCTTCTCCTCCTTTCTTCTTCTTCTTCTTCTTCTTCTTCTTCTTCTTCTTCTTCTTCTAAGATTTTATTTGTAAGTAATCTCTACACCCAATGTGGGGCTTGAACTCACAACCCTGAGATCAAGAGTTACGTGCTCCACCAACTGAGCCAGCCAGGCGCTCCACCTTTTTGCCTTTTTTTGTTTCCTCACGCTCCAGAACTTGGAAAGACCCAGTGTGAAGAGTGTGAGCATTGGACTCAGACCTGAGTTCGAATGCTGACGCTGCTGCTCACCTTCCGTGCGACCTTGGGTGTGCAAGTAACAGCGTGAGCCTCAGTTTCCACATCTGTAGTATGCAGATGGTTGGGGTAGCCATAGGACTGAATGTATGTGTCCCCCCAGAATTCATATGTTGAAGTCTTAACCCCTTATGTGACAGTATTAGGAGGCAGGGCTTTGGGGAGATAATTAGATACGAGGATGGAGCCCTCATGAACGGGATTAGCGCCCTTATAAAAGGGACCCCAGAGAGTGCTCTCACCCCTTCATCCTTGTGAAGATTCAACAAGATTTCTGTAACCCAGGAGAGGGCCCTAGCCAGAACCCAGCCATACTGGCATCCTGATCTCAGAATTTCAGCCTCCGGAACTGTCAGAAGTAAGCGTCTGTAGCTTGTAAGCCACCCATCAATGTAGTTTGTGAAAGCAGCCCAACCTAACTGAGACAGAGTACTTGCCTCGGAGTTGTTTGAAGAACAAATAAGATCACACTTTTCAAGTACAGATGGTCCCCAACTCAGGATAATTCAATTTATGATTTTTCAACTTTATATTGGTGTGAAAGCAATACTCATTCAGTAGAACTCATACTCTAAGTTGCGAATTTGGCATCTTTTCCCAGGCCAGCAATAGGTGGTAGGATCTTCTTCCGTGAGGCCGGGCAACGAGCTGAGCCTCCCTGTCAGCCCCTGGATCGTGAGGGGTCACAGCCGGTAACCTCCAGCCATTCTGTACCCACGCACAACCATCTACGTTCTGTTTCTCACTTTCAGCGCAGTATTCAATAAATTACGTGAGATAATCAACACTTCATTATAAAATAGGCTGTGTGTTAGATGATTTTGCCTAACTGTAGGCTAATGGAAGTGCTCTGAACACGTGTAAGGTCAGCCAGGCTGAACTATGATGTTCACTAGGTGAGGTGTATTAAGTGCATTTTTCACCTAAGATATTTTCTTTTTTTAAAAAGATTTTATTTATTTATTTGACAGAGAGAGACACAGTGAGAGAGGGAACACAACAACTAGGGAGAATGGGAAAGAGAGAAGCAGGCCTCCCGCCGAGCAGGGAGCCCAATGTGGGGCTCGATCCCAGGACCCTGGGATCATGACCTGAGCCGAAG